CTGTGCTGATAATATACTATTTTGTTCTATAAATGTCTTACCTTTCAAACGTTCATCACAGCGGTCTCTTCTGCTGCATCTCTACGGCGCTGCTAGCATGAGCGCTAGCTTCCGGGAACTATTGAGCGGCTCAACGATCCGCCATTGCTGTAAAACACTGCTCCACTGGAGTGAACGGAGTTGTCGCAACTCTCTCTCTCTGTGGCTCTGGTCCGCTGTACTGTTACTTTTGATTGGCAGAGTTTGCAGCCAGTCGAAGCGCGGCATCGCCTGAGGAATGTTGCTCATTGAGCCAATCGGAGGCGCGTGGGGGCGGGGCTTCCAGACGTTTCCGATCTTTGGAAAAGTTGAGCAAAACGGAAATGGACAAACAAACGCTCGCTCATGAGATGTTTACATACACGTTTGCAGCGTTGAAGAGCGGTGCTGCTGGTGACATTAATAAACCGAGAACAACATGAATTTAATGAGTCGTTCAGGTTGTTCCTTTATAAATCGTCGCGGTGGGATCGTTTAGTTTGTCCTGCGGTTGGAAATGTTTGTATGGAGCGTTGGGTGTTTTGTGATTATGAACGCGTTGCTGTTTATCGCGCGAGCTCTTGTAATCAATGCAGCATTATCCATTGATCATCAAGAGGAATCACAGCGCAGAAAAGGTTTCTAATTTCATGTTCTTTTTAAATTTCAAAGTAAACATCTGTTAGTTGTTTTTTGGGGGAAATAAAGAACAGACAGTAGTTTCTATTGTTGTTTTTTTCTCAGAGATCAGGCGAAGTATCAGTTCTTCACAGCAGTACGCAGAGGACGCCATCTCAGGCCACGCCCCCTGCACCTTATTAGGTCAGTGGGCGGGGCAGAGAAGCAGCAGACACGCCTCACAGCGGGTGAGATTTGTACGGATATCTGTCAATCATCCATCATTCAGCTGTCAGCTTTCTGTTGTGTCTTTGATCTCAGTCTGATCTGATGTGTGTTTCATTCAGAGCGAGACGAAGCCTTCAGCGTTTGGAGTCTCCTTCCACAAGTGCGCTCAGGTGTGTTTGTCCCCGTGTTCATAGACTGTGTGTGTGTGTATATGCGTGTGTAAATTTGTGTGTGTGTGTGTATGTATGTGTATATGAGTGTGTG